ATATATATATATCTCTCTCTCTCTCTCTCTCTCTCTCTCTCTCTCTCTCTCTCTCTCTCTCTCATGTATAATTTTATATAATTTATATAATTCATAAATTTTTATACCTCGTATCGACTGTTCTAGCAGGTACACCATGAATCCGCACATTGATATCACTACTCAATATATTATATAAGTAAATTCCTACTCTCTGCCATAACGTATACTTTTCTTTTTCTTTTTGCATTATCTGAAACAAAATTGGGTACGAGGAACTATAACTCATAGTCATAATAATCATGTATAAAAAAAGATATTTAAAAATTCCTACCTTATGATAAACGATAACAGATGCAAGCGCATCACAAGCGGCATACGCAACTTGTTCGTCGGTTAAGGTGCTAGCATCCCAGTCACCGCACCTGACTTCTATTATCTTGTCCATCTCTATATTAAGATATTCTAAACACATGGCGGCTAAGCTCTTCCGGCTCGGTAGATTAAAATTTTCAGCTAGGGTTCTTAAATCAACAGTTCCATTAACTCTACATCCATAATCCTTTACAATCTTATGTCCATCTTCAAACGAAGAGATCCCGACTTTAAGGATGTGTTTACTAGCTAACAATTCCTTAACACATAAACATAATTACAAATCAATATTATGCATAATATTAGTCAATCTTTAACTTTTTGTGAAATGTTACCTTAAGTTTAGGTGGAATGTATCCAATCTTTCCAATGCGAAACAAAGCAACTACTCCATTGTGAGTAGCTAGTTGTAACAGAGAGACAGGTCCTTCTTTGACCCATTCACAATCGAAACCCAGTACACCATCAGACAGATCACTATTAAAGAAACATATACAACAAATTAATTTTGTTTTAATAAGAGATAGTAAATGTTACTATTTCCTCTGGAGAGCATGTTTCATCAAACAGATTTAAGAAAAGCAATCAACATAGAAGTAAAATAAGTGTATTATCATAAAAGGAAATTGAAGAAATTAATCCCTTGTAATTAATAACACAATTTATTTTACTGAAGAAAGAAAATTCTCTCTGAGAAAAGCAGTCAACATAAAAATAGAGCAAGTGTAAATTTATATTATAAGAAGAAACTGAAAAAGAAATTCATTTTATTCTTTGTAATTAACAAATAAAATTTATTTTACTGCAAAAGAAGTTTGTTATAAAATACGAAATTAAAATAATTTTCTTTCATATAACGATAGCTAATTTTGCCAGCTATTGTTATAGGAAATTCAGATCTTTCTTAGAGAATCCCAAGGACACTTTATATATACTTATTGCCTTCCAAACACAATAATCTTGGTATTCGGCTCTCTCCAGAAAAAATGTAAACAATAATTATAAAAACGGCCGTTTCCATCATGTTATGGAAAGTCATGAGATATAGCAATGTCTGTTATAATGTCTTAGGACGTGATTGTGAGAATATTGTTGAGATTAGTAAAACGCTTGAAATTGGCAATAAATTTCAATTTTCGCTTACCAACGAATACGCTGTACGGCGTAATCGCATTTTTCCGGAGAGTCGGCCAGAATAATCTCGTCTAATATAAGCTTATTCTCTTTGTTGTCATTATCCTCATTATTATTATTATTATCAGTATCATGCTTATCGCACTTGGCTGTATTATCAGTATCCTTACTGCCATCGCGATTTTTAATATTTTTATACAGATGCTTGACGCTGCGAAGTACGTTGTTGCGATACTTCGACGCCAAAAAGACAAGTCCCACGGTCACGCAAACGAGAAACATGTTGTTACGTGCGGGAACCATTAATCAAAGAGGAGAAAAGACGCTTGAAACGCGCAAAAAATTCGATTTAAAAAATCAACGTTATATATACAATTTCTTCGTTAACGATATACATATATAGATATATACACGTGCGTGAGTTACACGTTATGTTACAATTTTAAATAAAATGTCAATGCAAAACAATCGCTCGTCGAGCAATCGGATTATAGCACAATTGTAACGATTAAGGCAACTCAGCACATCAATCGATCACAGTGATAAACTCTCTCTCTCTCTCTGTCTCTCTCTCTCGAAGATTCGTCTCAAAAGCATTAATATTAATATAAAACTAACGCAGCTCGGCGATCGCGCGGAATCATTCGACTAGATAAATCTACGATTATCTGAAATCGCGGCCGCCCCTGCTCGAAACTGCTCCGTATAAAATAATCATCTCGGTGACCAGCTCCGATCTCATTGAAATTTAACGCGAAACGAGGTTCAAGGGACCCCGTAGCTTTCGAAGAACGACCGGCGTACGCGGCTACGGGTTTCACGCACGACTAGCTTGGATTAACTGGCCTAACTGCAACCAACGGAAACGACTCCCGGTTAACTACCGACGTTTATCTACCTGCCGTCCGGTAAATAGATCATGCCGGTATTGCTATTATGGCTCCTGCACACAGAACGTGGCAACTGGTGGTAACGCTTGCCGCGCGGCGGAAGTTGGCGCGATAGCCAATCAACGTCTCGTTTATTCGGAAGTAATAGATATATAATTTCCACCGCGCAAAAGTTGAACTCAATCCAACTTTTGCCGCGCGATAGAAGTACTAAGTAGTATTACATCATTTCTAGAAGTTTTACAAGGTGAGGCCGTCTTAAAAACGTAGAATTATTGGCTTCTGCCAAAGTCATAGAGAATGCATGATGGAAATATATAAGGTGAAACAATACACATAATGGCGGTAGCAATACTGGAAATAGCCAATCAAATATGTCCGAATATGCACTTTCCTAC